TGAGATGGACCCTTGAGGGTTCCACCCCAGTGACAAGAGGGGAACTGACCCAGTGACAGTTTAGAACCTTTATTCCTGAGTTTGCAGGCTATATATGGAATGAAAAAGTCTGACTGTGTTGGTGAAAATGCTTCTATTTTGCATTCCTTTGTAATTTAACTGAAAGATTTTCATTACAAATTCTTTTATCAGCACAACAGTCTGAGTGAAAAGTAGCATCTTTTACATTTTAGCATGAAATTTTTAGATTTTCTTAGTATTTGGTGGTGTGTCCCTCTTCTGCTCTAATGACTGTGCACACTGTGTAAATCAGATACGATTTCTTTATGCTAGAATGTAATTTTAACCTTATTGCCGCATCAAGACTGACCTTTCAGATCTGTGATGATGTTCTAGAGCAGAAAACCTCAACCGTCACTGAGTCTCAGAGCTGTGAGGCTGATTTAATTGAAGTCTGTCATTTAAAATCATTTTCCAGTTTAAAAGACCTTCATTACTCTTTAGCTACATTAGTCTCTGAGCTTCAGTCATTCATTCACCTACCTGAAATCATACTGGCTCGTTCCTGTCCTCCAGCTCCCCCTACTGACAAATATCTACATCACACCTAAGAAAGAAAGGCAAAGAACGTTAAACATAGACTAAAGACTACCAACCCGGAAACTGACCCTCAGCTAACTGCAGACGACATTCACTGCTCTTCAAACTACAGGCAGATCATTCAGCGTGTGTGTAAATGTGTCTCAATAAGAGTAAATGAATAATAAACCACACACTACACACTCCCTGTGAAGATTTCTGATCCAGTAAAAGTTCAGAAGTACTTCTAAATGGACTGAAGTAAAAATGAAAGGACTGAGGGTTGTTCTAGATACTGTTGTACCATTTCTACAAGCAGTTTCTATTAATAAAGCCAGTGTGGCTGCAGAAATGAATTAAATAAAGATGTTTATTAAAGTGTAAAGTTCTAACTGTACAGCTTACAGGCATCTTTAAGGGGCAACAGGTCAAAATCAGCCAATTAACCCAACAACTACATTTAGCATTAAAAAGAGCCACAGAATTTGTTTTGATTTGTATAAATAGATTAAATTTTGTGTATTTACAATTTGAATTAACTCATTTTTTACTATATATAATCTTCATAGTTTTATTCATAATCAAATTTGGATTTTCTATTGTTTAATTAAAATTCTGTAATTCCATACGACCAAAAGACAAAAGGTGTTTATGATATGATTGTGATATTTTTGTGCTCAGGCAAACTCAGACAACATATGAACCAAAAGAAATGTAAAATGTCCGAAATGGACATTAATGGGTTGTTATAAAAAAACTATTGAGAGTCCAGTTTATGTAATACTCTAATAAATGACACCCAAAATGATTTTACACTTAACATGTTATAATAGCTTTGACCAGCAGGGGGCAGTTTTTTCCCTCTAGCAGGTGAAAAAATTACTTAGCATTAGCATGCTAATTGTCACCTGGTCTCAGAAGAATCAGATGGACAAAAAAAGCAGGTGTGACATGCTGAGTGTGAGCCAATATACATTTACATGTGTCTGATTCAGTGGTGGAAAAAACTGTGAAGGAAAAACAGAAGCTATAGTCAGAAACACACACACACACACAGACACACACACACAGACACAGTATGAAAACACATCTCACACTGAAACAACACGATTTAACATCAGGGTCTGTATTCATAAAAAGTCTCTCTTATTTATCGACTTTACTGACAGGAACAGATCTGAGATCAGCACTGCTACTCCAAGAAGCTTAAAGAGGAATTCCTCCATAATTAAGATGTAAACAGAGCGGTTTAGAGTGGTTTGGTGTGAAACGCTCTGTTCTAGATAAACTGACTGAGTCAGAATTGTTCACAGTGGTGGTGATAGGAACCAGACGTCCACCTCTAAAAGCTCCTCACAGAAAGTTCCTACATGAAATGGTTGTGAATTCACTGCCTGATGACTGAGACGCTGTTTTATGATAGTTTTGAGATCTTAAACTCTGTTCATTGTGGAGGGATACATGCAGGGCACTGTGAGGCAAAATAGTCCCCAAAGAAAACTTATTATTCCAGATTTTCCACTATTTTCCATCATCAACATTCCATATAAACCCAGAAGACTCGTGTAGGTTCACTGGTGGTTCTGGATAGTAAATAAAATGTCTATATTTGTGTTGTAGTCATGGCGACCCCTGGTTCCTATCACCACCACTGTAAAGACATCTGAACCATTTCACACCAAACCACTCTGAATCTCTCTGTTTACAGCTCACACACTGAATTATGGGGGAATTTTTAAGAATTCTGACCCTGAACTGACCATCCTAACATGCAGTGAAGGAATCTGAGCAGCATCAAGGCGAAAGTTTTGGATGAACAGAGGAAACAGCTGAACATGAGGAAACAGTCCAGTTCATACCTTCATAGCAAAGCTGGAAAAGTCTTCAGACTGCAGATCAGCTCGTCTTACTGAACCCTCTGAGTGACTGTCCTGCCACACAGAGTGGACGTCCTCATTTCAGATCCCAGCTCTTACAGGCTGAGTCCCACACAAACTCACCGGCTCCCATGACTTTAATTACAGCGTCCGGCACGTCTGCAGAGGGGAGGGGCCTCTGTGACCAGACAACAGAAAAATGGACCTACAGGGCTGTTAGACTTACTCACTGGAAACATGTAGACTGTTAAATCAATCAGTCAATCAATCAATCATTCATTCAACCAACCAATCAATAAATCAATCAATCAATCAATCAGCCTTTATTTAAACTCTGAGCATATTTAGAGAGACCCTTATTTACAGTGTAGCCAACATAGACAAAAAACCACAAAACAAAAAAAACTGGATAGTAAAAACATATCAAATACAAAAAAAGTAATAATAATCATAACAGTAAATTTATTAGCAAGAAAAGTCAATAATCCAATACAATTGTAACAATATAGTAAACTCAATAAAAAATAGATCACACACACACACACACACACACACACACACACACATTTTCTAAACTGTTTATCCTTCTGGGTTGTGGTCGTCGGGCGGAAGGCAGGATACACCCTGAACAGGTCGCCAGTCAATCACAGGGCAAATAGATCAAAGTCAACGCAGCCATACAGGCCACAGTGAGTCCAGAGTCTAGAGACTCTAGATGCCTGTTTCTCAGGAACTTCGCCGATGGCTGCCCAGTTAGCAAAATTTGTCTTCCTTGGTTTGTTCTGGCCCAATATATCACTGGGTCCTCGGCCCAGATCTGACTCACACACTGTAGAGTGAGTAGAACTAAAGGATCTGGCCCAAATTTGGCCCCAATCTGGCCCAACTACATTGATGGTCCACAACATTCACGCCAGAATTGTCCCATGAATGTAGACACAAGACAGACTGTATGGCGCTGTTCAGGATCTGGCCCGATTCTGGCCCACATCTCTACGAACAGACACGTAGGAAAGCCAGAATTTAGCGTTATTAACGTTATTAACGTTATTAAGTGTTATTTAGTGTGTGAATGCGTATCCTAAGGCTGCTTAAAGAGTTTAATATTATGTCCTCCTAATTAAACCTTAATTACGAATCCCTGAAATTTGCTTTCATATGATTTTTTTTGTGGAGAAATGAAAATGTTTATCCTACTGCTGCTTCTTTGCCGATGCTGCTGCTCTCTTGGTTTTCTTCCTTCGTTTATTTTGTGTTTTCTACATGATCTAACGTTACTCTCTGTGTGATCTCTGCGTCGCTTCTGCGTCTCAAGATCACCGATGACCCTCCAGGATCATTAAATATTCAGTAACTCACAGCTCACCTATCAGGTAAAGCGTTTAATAACGTTTAATAATGAGAAAGTGACTAGCAGAGCAGTAGCAGCTTTAAAGTGGAATCATAAAGATTTTTCAGAATTTCTGTATGGTTTAGTCATTGATATGTGAAATGATTAATTATAGAGAAACTCATCAACTCAGATGTCTTTACAGTGGTGGTGATAGGAACCAGGGGTCGCCATGACTACAACACAAATATAGACATTTTATTTACTATCCAGAACCACCAGTGAACCTACACGAGTCTTCTGAGTCTATATGGAATGTTGATGATGGAAAATAGTGGAAAATCTGGAATAATAAGTTTTCTTTGGGGACTATTTTGCCTCACAGCGCCCTGCATGTATCCCTCCACCATGAGAGGAGTTTAAGTTCTCAAAACTATCATAAAACAGTGTCTCAGTCATCAGGCAGTGAATTCATAACCATTTCATGCAGGAACTTTCTGTGAGGGAGCTTTTAGAGGTGGACGTCTGGTTCCTATCACCACCACTGTGAAGAGTTGTGACTCTGTAAGTTTCTCTAGAACGGAGCGTTTCACACCAAACCACTCTGAACCACTCTGTTCACATCTTAACCACTTAATTGAACACAAATTTTAGAAAAAATCAGTGTAGGTCCCCTTTTACCAATCAGCTCACACATCTGTTTCTTATACAGCAGGTCTGCCGGCTGTGTCACATGATCTGAACATGGCGCTGCCCGTCTGTGGACCCGCGCTTACTTACGAGAACACGGCTCATACGAGCTTACAAAGTAATTCAGGGTTGGTACTAAACTTCACTTAGTGCTCCTTTAAATGTGTAATTTCGGCCGTACTGTCCCTTTAACAGCACCGTAACCCTGCTGCGCTCTGCTCCCTCAGGCTGAGTCTCAAACTGCTCCCTGCTCCCTACGTAGTGCACTAGGTAAGAGTCTAAATGCCGCCTCCAGCAGCAAACAGTGCAGAAAATATCTGACAGAACACATTTAGGATTGAGACACGTCCACACTGGACACACACAGAGCGCTGTTCCGGTGTGGAACCCAGAACTTCATAACTCTCACAGTGCACTACTGAGGGAATAGGGAGCTGTTTGAGATTCAGACTCAGAAAGAATCTCCAGCCAATAGGAACGGGAACTCCGTGTGACGTCACGGGCAGTGGGCGTGTCTCGGAGACGGTTCTGTCTCAGGCTGTCAGGGTCAGAGTCTGTCTGTCCATTGAAAGCTGAACCTGAACCCGAACTCTGTTCAGCTGAGCTGAGGACACTGCGTCGTTATCCGGGCTGGTTAAGGTGGTTTGGAGGTTTTTAAGGTGGGTCCAGCTTCGATTTATTCTTTGAAGCGCTGCCGTTGTTGATAACTTAGCTAAAGCTTCTTCTCCGAATTTTCCCGTTCCACCTTAAATGGTGCAGCAGTTACTATAACTGAGGGGATGTAACTGCTGCACCATTTAAGGTGGAACGGGGAAATTCGGAGAAGAAGCTGACTTCAGCTTCGTACGTTAACGTTAGAAAATTAGCTAGCTGGCTAACTGAGCTAACGGGTTTGATTCAGAGCGACTGCAGCGGTAAAACCAGAGGTAAAACTTGCAGGACTGTTTTAATGTTTCCACTTTTCCTGCATTTATTAACCGGGTTAGTTTAGGTCTAGATGCCATGTTACCTGTTCATCCTCTAACGTTATCTGAGGCGATACGTCTGCGCGTCCGCCATGTTGGAGCGGTCAAGATCCGCTTGTGAACAGATTCACTTGTATTGAGAGACGAAGAATCTCAGGATTAAATCAGCCACAACTTCATTACTACTCAACCGATTTTCACCAAATCTGTTTAGTTATAATCCTCAGACACAGATTAATCCAGGCTGCACGGATCTGCTCTCGGTAGCTTTTATTACTTTAATAACTGATCGTGATAATTAGCCGTCAGGACCAGCAGAAATGTATTCAGTCTGCACAGTTTAGCGCTCCGGTAGGTAGGTTACATCAGCAAATCCATCAATGTGTGAGTCACTTCTAATCTTAATCCACATAAAAAATAAAATTAACCCCCCAAAGCACAGTAAAATGGACGAAGCTAAAGTTGGCGTTCTATTTGCCAGCTTCTTCTTCGTGTTTTCCCGTTCCACCTTAAATGGTGCAGCAGTCACTTTCTGGTGCTTACCATTTAAGGTGGAACGGAAAAAGTCGAACAAGATGCTGGGTGATGCATCATTTAAGGTGGAAATTCGAACAAGAAGCTGGCAAATAAGAAGCGAACTTCAGCTCCGTGTTAGGTATTAACGTTAATCTGTTATTAATATCTACACGGATTAAGGAATGCTATAAATCATAGCTACAAAGCTTTAACCATCATTGTAAATAAATAACTGCTACATTAATTTAAGACCTCCTGAACAGACCATTAAATGAAATAAGCTCAATATAAAACCTAGTAAAAACAGTTACATCAGCAGGTTCTCTGCTTCACCAACCACACGGCCATATCTACACATAAACGTCACACAAACATGAGCGTGGATCACTGCGTTCCCTCCGTTATATTATCCTGTCCCACTTTCTGAGAACAATATTCTTGAAATATTATAATTTGGGACAGTATCCTTAATAAACTGCCGCTCTGTAATGGTACTGAATGCAATCCAGCAGCGATGTTGACCGCCCCAAAATGGCGGCGCCGTTGACGTGCCTGACTGGACCCAACGCGGCATCTAGGTATGTATATCTATGGCTGTGCAGGTTGGCGATCCATGCTCTGAGTTTTACAGGTAGTTTTATCGATGAATTAGCTATAATGGTACTTTAATTGCTGGTGTTCTAGCCGTTGGTAGCTAATCTAGGTATATCTGAGCTCTCAGCTCCGGATATGATGTTACTCAGAGACGCTGAGAACCCTTTCTTGTGTTCTGTTACCTGGAGAACATGAAAAGTAGAGCGCACTGTTTTCATAAACCCTCAAACACTAGGGCTGAGTCCCAAATGGCTCCTCACTCCCTATATAGTGCACTTCACAGGTCAGGAAACTGGGATCTGCACATAAACGGTGCTCTGGATGTTGGATGAGGAGTCGAGCAGCTGATGACTGAATGTAACCATTTTATTAAGTATATAATGCAGTGTTTGGGTGTAGAAGCTGGGATTCTGTGATACTACATAGGGAACAATCTGTGATATAAACACTACATCTGCAGCGTGATCGACCGCTGAGAGAGAGAGAGAGAGGGAGAGAGAGATTGGCATTGTCTATGTGAATGAGCAGCCAATCAGTAATGATAAACCTACGCGTGCTTAGGGGCCGACTGCAATACCAAATATACTTCAGTACTGAAGATGTGCTGAAATTGTTGCTATACATACTTACGGAGCCCTGCTGGTGACATCCTGTATAAATAAAAATAATGCATGGCCACGACTTAATATGGTGAGGGAATGAGATGATTAAGTTGTGGCCATGACTTAGTAAAGCGTGGGATCGAGATCCTAATTCGTGGCCACCACGTAGTAAGGCGTGGGAATGAGATCCTAATGCATGGCCATGACTTAGTAAGCCGTGATCTCATTCCCACACCTTACTAAGTCATGGCCACGCGTCAGGATTTCGTTCCCATGCGTTAATAAGGCGTGGCCACGCATTATATTTATTTATACACGATGTCACCAGCAGGGCTCCGTACATACTCACAGTTTCTCTGTGAATGTTTTTACTCGTTTAATTAGAGTGATGTAGACGTTTGAGAAAGAAAGAGAGGTGGTGGTGGTGTGGGGGGTCTGAGAGACCATGGGGGTCAGAGAGAGCAAGATTGGGGTCCAGAAGACCTTGGGGGTCTGCAGCTGGGTATCTCTGTTGTGACTCAGTCAGTTTGGCACTGCTAGAATAAAGCAGCTTCCTGTAACTGATAACCTGCTGTAAACATGCAGGACCTCTTTTCTCCCTGATGATCATGATGATGATAATAGTAATAATAATATTTATTGGAATAATAATGATGATCATCTGGTCAGAGGGGTCCTGGTGGTTCAGGTGGTCTCTCTCTGTGTTCTAAAGCAGTGACGATCATATAGTGCAGTTTTTATCTGCGCCAGCTCTCTGCAGGGGTTTATCTGCATTTATTCTTGAGTATGATTTTCTCGGATGTTCCTCAGGAGATCAAAGCAGGAGTTATTATAATGCAGTATAATAAGTGTAGAAGGGCGTTTGGCTTCACCGTGTACAGCCGACCGTAACGTGACCACAGCTGAGATATGAGTTTCTGATGAACCTTTTTCCTCATGGACATTCTGGACGTTCTGGACGTTCTAAGTGTTCTGGACGTTCTCTTCTGCAGAGTTCAGAGCTGCTGAGCTGAACCGTCTCTGCTGACTGATCTCCGTGTTGTTTTCTGTGTCCGTGCAGTGCCGATGGATCCTTGGCAGGAATGCATGGATTTCGGTGTTGAGGTGACTAAAGAGGCGGGAAAGGTAAGCGCCATTTGCAAGCTTAAAGCGTTCTTTGCCTCGTGAAACGGTTCTTAAGATTGATGGAGAATGTATTATATAGAGGGTTCCATATACAACATTTTGAAACAGGTTCTATCACAGGTACTAGCACCAAAAAGGGATCTTCTGTTATTATAATGTTAAGCTTGTCATAATAGTAGAACCAATTTTCAACCATTTTTGGTGCTATATAGACCATAATATAGTTTCTAAAAATTATATATATATATATATATATATATATATATATATATATATATATATATATATATATATATATATATATAAAATTTGTGTATGTAGTTTCAAAAATTGCCTAGTTTGAACGTAAACTGTTTATGAGCTACTAGAATTTAACTGGTTGCAGCAAGTAACACAGTTTCAACATAGTTTTAAGCTATAACTTAAGATGTTTATGTGCCCTAATCGGTGTGAGTTCTGCTGTTAAAATCAGGAAAACTTGCAAGAAAACCAAATTCTTGGTTTGTGTTGCCAACCAGTTCTGCAGGATTGATACACCCATTTTCATCGATTGGAGATAGAAAAGATCACAGACCTCCTAATTCGCAGATTTACAACTCAGACAGTCACAGAGCCCTGAGTCCTACTTTGTGTCACTGAGATGTTTTTCTAGAGGGTCGTTCCAAATCAGGTGGGTGACACTATTAATGTACACAAGTCAACAGTGTTCAGAGCAATAAGAGCAGCTCCATCAGAGCTCAGGCTGTGTGACTCTGACCTTATCATCATACAGAACACTAATAACTATATTATTATTAAAATATAACTATCATAGCTAACAATACCTTTCTGTCTTTCAGCAGATTCAAATAGCGACTATGTTAGCCGCAGCTTCGTTAACGTTCTGACTGTTCATTGATAAAGTTCTGTTAAAATGTTGTGCAGAACCCAGTTTGAACATCGGAACAGTTCCAGCAGTAGAACAGAATAAACACACATACGACACGCCTTAAACACAGTAAATGTAGCAGGGAAAGAGAGAGATTTCACTGTGTGTGGAGATCAGGCTTGTAGTGTTTCCTCTTCGTCAGTGGTTTGATCTACGATCACTTTACGTTCAACTAGTTAAGATGTACCATAAGTGTCTGTGGTGCAACCGAAATTCTGTGTCGCTAGTTTTAAACTAACTACTCTCAGCGTGAGATTTAAGATGGACTTTACAGCCCAACTCATGATCGAACTCGCGCTCAGCTGGTGCAGCGCCTGCTGAACTTTATGATGAACTCTCTTCAGTCCAGTTCTAATCACCATGTCCTGCAGAGTAACGCTGTTCTTGCTGTTCTCCTCCAACTCCGGGTCCTGCTGTGTGTCTGTTGTTTCAGATGATCCGTGAAGCTCTTCAGAAAGAGATATCGGTCAGGGAGAAGAGCTCTCCGGTGGACCTGGTCACTGAGACCGACCAGAAGGTGGAGGAGCTCATTATATCCTCCATCAGGGAGAAGTTCCCCACTCACAGGTGGGCTGGATGGTGTGGTGGGAGAAACGAGGCTTTCTCAAGCTTTTACAACAATTGGTTCAAACAGTTATTTGTTGTAGCGCTACCTGCTGGTTGTGTCGGTGTACATGCAGCATAAAACCTGATTTTATTACCAAACATTATCATTTTTAATATTATATTAAATTTGTCTGTGTGATATAGACCTTAATATAAACACACATATCTGCCTCCTCTCTGCTCCTCCTGTAAGTTTTATAGGTGAGGAGTCGGTGGCCGCCGGAGCCCCCAGTGCTCTCACAGATGGCCCCACCTGGATCATCGACCCGATTGATGGAACCACTAACTTTGTCCACAGGTGTGTGTGACTGTTCTGTGTTACAGACGCTGGAGTTTTTCATACTTTTCCACAGAACTGATTCATTTATTTCTTTTCCTGTCAAAACTTTTTGTCTGTTTATTATTACAGTCAAAACGGCCGTTAAGTAAAACTGATTAATCTTTCCTACAAAAACGGAAACACTGTCACCGAACGAAAAAGGAAAAACACGAACCTCCGTTTCCGTCTGCTTTTCACCATCATCTGAACAGTGTTTGTCCTTCACACCGTGTGAAAATGTGAAAACTTCATGATGAACTGACCGACAGAAAAATCTCAAAAACAAACAAAACCTCTTTACATTCACGTACATTAAGCATTAAGACTCTGTTTGCTTCTCTGTAAAGCAGCTGTTTTTATTTCTCTTTGGACCGAAAATCACACAAAAGCCTTCAACACTGAGTTTGTTTTTCCTGAACCTGAAAAATAAGTAACTTCTGCTTAAGAGCTGTTTCACTGGAAAAAACGTAAAAGGCTTCTCTGCTTACTTACGTACTGGATACGACTAAACTGGGGAGAAAATAAGAAAAAAGTAAAAATAATAATAAATAAAATAATGATATAAAAATATGACACTGCGGCTCCAGAATGAGAGTTGCTAAGCTAAGTTGTGTGTTGGATCCTCTGGCTGAGAGATGAGGAGCATCACTGAGTGCGTTTACATACACTTAATTATCTGATAACTGTAGAAAATCAGATTGTGTCAGTAACTGGTTCAGTGTGTTTACATGCTCTTGAGTAATCAGGTAATGGGGAAACTCAGATAATGGGAAAATCCAGCCTCTTTATCGGATTTCCTACTCGTGTTTCTAGATCGGACTGTATTGTTTACACGACCATTTGAATAATCAAATAACTGCAGAAAACTATGGAAATTATGATCGGATTATTGAGTGCATGTAAACACACTCACTGTTCCAGAGCACTAAAAGCTGAACGAGGGTGAGACAGACAGCGTGAGGGTGAGACAGACAGGGTGAAGGTGAGACAGACAGCATGAGGGTGAGACAGATGGAGTGAAGGTGAGACAGACAGGGTGAGGGTGAGACAGACGGAGTGAGGGTGAGACAGACGGAGTGAGGGTGAGACAGACAGAATGAAGGTGAGATAGACGGAGTGAGGCTGAGAGACAGAATGAAGGTGAGAGAGACAGGGTGAGAGTGAGACAGGCAGGGTGAGAGTGAGACAGACAGGGTGAGGGTGTGACAGACAGTGTGAAGATGAGACAGACGGACTGAGGGTGAGACAGACGGACTGAGGGTGAGACAGATAGACTAAAGTTGAAATTTAGAGGAAGAGAATGTCAGAGAAGCCAGACTTTGCAGGATCTTCACAGCTTTAAGGTGTCTCTCTCTTTAGACAACCGTGTGTTTCTGTGTCTCTCCAGGTTCCCCTTCGTCTCCGTCTCCATCGGCTTCACGGTGAACAGACAGGTACACAGTGAGACTCACAGAACTTTCTCAGCAGCGTTTAATCTCTTCAGCTCTCTTTGTGAACAGTGACTGAGACTAAAGCCGGAATCACTGCTGCGTTTCTAACCGCGCCAATAATTCAGCCTCACTGCTTGTTAAACTCAGGAAATATGAATTGGGCATCAGTGAGCAGTAGTGAGATTTACACTCAGACAGTCAATACGGCTGATCAGAGGGGTTCAGACTTTCACATATTGACCCAATTTTGAAATAGTGAGTGATTCTGAAGTTCAGCCGTGTCAGTTTTGTCTGTTTTTGTGTCTCAGATTGAGTTCGGGATCGTGTTCAGCTGCCTGGAGGATAAAATGTACACCGCACGCAGGGGGAGAGGAGCGTTCTGCAATGGAACCCCGATCACGGTCTCAGGGCAGCAAGGTCAGTCCAGAGAGAGAGAGATACAGAGAGAGCGAGAGAGAGAGATACACAGAGTTACTTAAAAATGTTGACCAGGTAAAAATCAGCCACTTTAAGCACATCATCAAGCTGACGGTAGAAAAGAGTCCAGAGAAGAATTCCAACCAGACTGCATTTTAAAAGAATCCTCTCCAAAAAGAAAATTAGTCATGAAATTAGTCTTTAAATAAACACTGCATATCACTGTATCTCTGTTCAGACGTCGCCTTTGCACTCACCGTAACTGGTGCTGTCTGCGGTTCAGTCAGTCAAAATCCTGTTTATTTATTATTCTTTCTTATTCCAAACTGCTTTAGCTTTGTGTGAACAGTCTGCCTGGTTATGAGTACGAATGCTGAGTCAGTATTTCTGTGTATTTTAATAACCATCTCTCTCTTCTCTGAATATGAGTAGGATTTAAATATGAGCTGATCAGAAGATGCTGACTGACACTCGTCTGTTCTGCTTATACAGACATCACTAAGTCCCTCATACTGACAGAAATGGGCTTCAAGAAAGATCCAGAACACTTCAGAACCGTGATGGCCAACATGGAGAGCGTTCTCAGTATCCCTGTTCACGGGTGAGCGCTGGCCTGTGTTTCTTTAACAGTCTGAGTTCTCAGTGCGTCAGTGTATTTATTCCATATGATATAATTGTAAGGGTTCAGCCAGCCCCGCCTGCTGCCAGCAGAGGGCGACGGCGGCAGGGTGTCCAGCCTGCGTCGCCAGCTGCCAGCAGAGGGCGACGGCGGCACAGGGCCATAACTTCAGGGAACTCCAATTCCCAGAAGTCTGATTAGGCCCAACGCGACACACCTGCGGACTCCTCTACTTAAGGCCGTGGCAAACAGTGGTGTTTGTCACACCTTTGTAGAGGGGTGACCGGTACGGTACAGTACTTAGTGTCAGAAAAGAAAAGGAAAGAGAAGAAAAGAGGGCTGAGAAAAGAAACTGTCCCAAAGCTACTTAAAGTAGAGTTTTTGAGCTACAGTCGGCTCAGAGAGCTCCACCATGAGCAAACAACTGAAACAAAGTCTGCCTTCCCTTCGTTCTTGTGGAAGTGGAAGTGTTTTTTGTTCTCCTGTTATCTTTCATTTCGCCTTCCTAGTTCAGCCTTTGTTTTGTCTGCCGTTCGTCATTTTTCCCGCCCCTTCCTTGAGGTGTTTCGCCCGTAGTCACCTCATCCGCATGTTTCAAACTCACAACCCAGTGCCCCAATAAACTCATTTATCCCCTTTTCTCTCTGTTTCCATTTCTGCACTTGGGTCCGCATCCCCGCCGTCCCGTAACAATAATAGGGCGTAACTGTTACTGCGTGAACCTCGAAGGAGGACGTTTAATCATGGAATCAGAGCAGAGTTACACTGTGGGGTCCAAAAGTCCCACAGTGTTGGTGAAAATGCTGCTATTTTGCATTTCTTTCTAATTTAATAAAAAAAGTAATTACAAATTATAGTTTCACCATAACAATCTGAGTGAAATGTAGAATCTTTGAAATTTTAACATGAATTTGAGAATTTCTCAGTATTTGGTGGTGTGTCCCCCTTCTGCTTTAATGACCGTGAGCTCTCGAGCTGCATGGACTCCACCAGTTTGTGTAAAAGTCTCTCAAACCCACAAGAGAGTCTGAACACGAGCTGCACTGGAAGAGATCAGACTAAAAACACTCACAGCTTTTAGTACAAACAGCTCAACATCACCTTCACACCTGATTCAGTCTGAACTGAGTATATTACACACACCTGATTCATTGTGAACACAGACACAAACACAGCACAGTTTACAGCATTTCTGCCTTATTTTAATTCTCACAACTTTTATTGTTTTAAATTATTAAAGATTCGAAAACTTTATTTCCAAATTTAAAACAAAATAATCCCAGATTGTCACTGTGCTCTCAGACATTTGGTCTCTGCTGTAGATCTCTGATAAATTTAGTCCAGCAGCGCAAGAGACTATTTTTTAGAAAGTCTTCTGATTGAGCTCAGTGTTAAATCTTGTTAGTGCTGTTGTTTATACAGTGTGTGTGTGTGTGTCTGTGTGTGTGTCTGTGTGTGTGTGTCTGTGTCTGTGTATGTGTGTGTGTGTGTGTGTGTGTGTGTGTTATACGCGGTGGAGTTTTGTGGTTTTAGGTCAGACACACAGTGGTTAGTGCTAATATAGTGTAATGCAGTGGTTCTCAAACGGGTGCTCTGATGTGAGAACCAGTTTTTTTTTTAATGACTTTTTTTGAGCATCATTTTAAGAAGCAGTGTAACACGAGAATTCTAGTCTATAGAAGTTAAAGAGTAACTCAAGCATCAGAGGCTTGAAGAACATCTCTCTGAGAACCTGAGAACCTGTCATGATCACCGTTACGTTTCATTATTGATGCGCTGATCTCAGACGTGACCGATCCACGATCAGTACTGTTTTCAGTCGCTCTAAAATGGAAGGGTGTCGTTCCAAAACGTGCTGCACGTCAGATTCTCACTGAGATTCTCAGTGAACTCAGTTCTCTACGATTCTGAATGATCACATTACAGACATTTTTTGGTGATGAAATGAGTTTTTTGCAGCCATGAAATGTTTCTCACGTTAGTGCTGCAGCATTTCAAAATAAAAGTCCCTCTTCACGAAACATGACATGGCTCATCAGAATAAAAGCCCTGTGCAGGAGGAGCTTCATCAGCAAATTTCAGACTTTTACATCAGTCAATTTAATCTCAGCTAACAAATGAAAATCAGTTTATTTTTCAGTGATTTTGAGACCAAAATGACTGAAAGTAGGTATGTTGTGTTTTGGAATGAGGTCCAAATGTATCTGTTCAAATTGTGTGTACCTCCTACACCGTGGTGTATGTATCAGATCGGTACTCAGTGTCTGCCAACATCAGCTCAGGTAAAGGTATCAGGATCATCGCTGTGCATTTAGAACCGGCTCTTATTCTGCTTTCAGTGTTTTTATCTTTGTCAGTTTTAAGAGCAGTAATGAGAGTCAGCTGAGCGCTGCAGTCTGCGTTTATACTCTGTCTGTGTCTGTGTTTCCCTGTGTTTCATATCAGTGTCTTAATTCAGGAAATAAACAGCGTTATTGTGTTTTGTTGCTTGTTACAACATTACTAAAAATGTTGACCAATAAAAATCACCCGTAAAAAATGGTGCATTTAAACATGCAGCTCACAGCATCTGCATCACTACATCAACCAGACGCTGCTGAGGACGGCTGTGTGTTTATGAGGGCGACTCAAAGTCATGGTGTAAAAGTCTGAGAGCGAATTGACAATCTGGGAGTATTTTAATTTAAACCAGAGAATAAACGTTTTTAAGTTTTTAAAGTTTGAAAAATTTAAAACAGATAAAAGTTTTGAGAATTAAAATAAGGCAGGAATGCTGTAAACTCTGCTGTGTTTGTGTCTCTGTGTTCAGACTGAATCAGGTGTGTGTGTGTGTGTGTGTGTGTGTGTGTGTGTAATATACTCTGGTCAGACTGAATCAGGTGTGAAGGTGATGATGCTGATCTGTTTGTACTAAAAGCTGTGAGTGTTTTTAGTCTGATCTCTTCCAGTGAAGCTCGTGTTCAGACTCTCAGGTGGGTTTGAGAGACTTTTACTCAAACTGGTGGAGTCCATGCAGCTCGAGAGCTCACTGTCATTAAAGCAGAAGAGGGACACGCCACCAAAAACTGAGAAATTCTCAAATTCATGTAAAATTTTCAAAGATTCTACTTTTTCACTCAGACTGTTATGCAGAAAGTAGAATTTGTGATGAAACACTTTGTATTAAATTAGAAAATAATGCAAAATAGGAGCATTTTCACCTGCACTCTTAGATTTTTGGACACCACTGTAGGTTTAAGGAGAAATCAGACTAAGCAACTAAATAAATGAACGATTCTAAACTCTTCGTAACTTCTCAGGATCCGGGCGCCCGGCAGTGCGGCGGTGAACATGTGTTTGGTGGCGTGTGGAGCAGCAGACGCCTATTACCACATAGGGATCCACTGCTGGGACATGGCAGGAGGGGCCGCCATACTTACTGAGGCTGGAGGAGTCGTCATGGACATCACAGGTACTGGTCATCAGATTATAGATTGACCTTACTGTACAGAACATCAGCGAGTTTCAGTGTTCAGGGTGATTGAAGTAGCCTGTAGGCCTGATTTCCTCTTCATGAACATGGTCTTTATCAAGAAGGTAAGTTTGAAGTTCCGTTGTACAGATTAAGCTGCCTTTAAAGCTGCTGCGTTCACCTCGTAGAGCTTTGAGCTCTGAAAGACAAGTTTGTTGAGTAGAACTAACAGTTTTTCTGTGGTGATGTGTTTTTTGTGAGTTAATGACTGAATGTATGATTTCCTTATGTCCCCATTTAACATTAATCCTGTTATGTGTGTTTAGAATTTGTTTTGTTTTGGTTTGATTCTACAGTGAAAGCCAGAGTTGTGCGCACTGCGATATACGGCGTGTGAGTGTCTGTGTGAGAAAACACAACAGCACATTTATTCACAGCATAAGAAGCGACTGGTTCTAGAAAATGACTCTAATCGGTGTCATTCCTAATATGGACAACTGGAGAGATTGTGTCAAAATGCTGAATAGAAATATGAAAACAAATAATCTGATAAGTTTGGCAAAATTCTCAAATCAGCTTTTCAGCTAATAAAACCTAATAACCAGCTGTACTGACCACAGTTTGGACGAATCCATATTATAGATAATAAATATATATAGTAATTTGGGATGCCAAACAAAATTTTATTGCAGGTAAGACACTAAAACTCTGCAACTAATTTAAAACAAGCTGTAATAAAAGGAGAACATTTAAATGCGTCCAGAACGAACAGAGCTGTAAATAATCACTTAATGCAGATGCTGTATAACACTGACACTGGCCTTAACCTTTTACAGACCCGAGTACCTGAATGCTTGTTCTCAAACTGACCCTTAAAAACTGTTTCAAAATTAACCATAATTTTGAGTGTCTGTCACTGCAGTTTTCATTATGTCCAGTAGGTGGCAGCAGTGTATTAAGTCGGACTGAAGCTCTGTTGTGCTGTTTTCGTGACGTTTTTGTGTTGAAGTGCAGCTTTTATTGGTCATTTTATGAGTCTGTCATTGATGAGCTGTCAGTCATGCGGCTCTTGGTCTGCAGCATAAAGAGTCGCTGGTCAGAGAGGCTGAAGCGCCGTACTCATCTGCCTGTGGTCAGCCGCGACAGCAGCGGTGCTGGCGTTTCCCTCTTGAGCTCCCGTGTGATTCGTCCTTCCAGACCCGCAGAACTCTGATATGTGGCAGTTACTGGATTTATAATATATGACATGTATTAGAATATATGGACATTCCTTGTGTCCAACTTAATGTTCATATGTAACTAACATGTGAGATATATATGTGTGTGTGTGTGTGTGTGTGTGTGTGTGTGTGTGTATATATATATATATATGGCAGCTTATTTGAAATTGGCCATTTTGAAATATGGAACATATTTCAGCCATACATCAACACAGATAAACAGATGTGTAATGTTTTTAGTAATATATGATTGTAAATATTATTCATATATGGAAAGTATATAATACGCATATATATATAATATTATCTTCTTGTTATATAATATAAAGTTTATAAGCATCTTCTTTGTTTTTCCTACATACTTCCTAGTGAAGTGATTAATTTATATAATAGCTACATAACTCCAAAAACTTGCAGACTGTGAGCTCTGCAGTAAAATCATTACACACGTTTAAATAATTTAGTGTTTAAAAGCAAACAGATCTCATAGTAACGATTAGATCTGTGTTGGAATTTATTCAACCATTTATCAGACATATATGTTTATCATATTGCTGCTATTGAAATAAAACCTTGCATGTCCATTTTTGTCATTTTTCAGTTTTTGACATAATTTGAAAATGCTTGTTGTCCTTTACATTGTGTGTAAATTTCATGAAGAATGGACCAAACGAAAGTAAAGTTACCATTTCAGAGATATGAGGTTTTCTTCCGACAACAGCGATATATGATGCACAAATTTCAATCACTGCATATTTAGATATTTATGTGCAATATTTATGTACATATATTTTAGAATATACACTCCTAGGCAAAAAAAAAATGGGCCGAGCCCGAAATGTAATGGTTCTTACTGATGGTTCTGGCTGGTCAGAGTGCAGATTTAAGCCCTATAGAGAAAATTTTGGTCTTGCATTAAACTCAAACCAGCTCAGCAGTGTTTTTCAGCTGTTTGAAACTGTCAATGCTGAGTGGATCTATACTGACTCTTCTTTCTGTACAAGACTGTCTGAACATTTACATACTAAACTACAACACTTAAAGAAATCAAAGAAAAAAAAACTACCCCATATTAAGTTACTTTACCATTTTTGGCCCATCTTTTTGCCCAGACATGTATGTCACCCTTTATAATAATATATCCTTATTTGTCCATATAGCGGATTTCTGTGTGGGAGTTATTAATAATACTCAGATTAGTGACACTTTACACTGAAATATTTCAGATGTTTCATCAAACCTGTCGTGGTTTATCAGCCTCTTAATGCACATTTACACTGAGTAGTTTTCTTATTGTTGAGGAATTTTAAATCCTCCCGTGTTTTTGTTTTTTTAGGCCTTTATGCTCTTTTAGCTTAAATGGCCACGAGGACAGCGTGACTAAACAGACGAAGGTTCTGAATGCTAACGAGAGAACCGAACGTCTGTGATATACGTAGATGTTGTAATTATTCAGGCCCCAGAAATAATTTAAGAAAATGAACATCCAGAAATGATGTGAATTGAAGAAGTGGTGATCAAATCTCGAGGCACAAAACATTTCAAGGAATTACACTGTACTTAAAATATTTATGATTTACTAAGATGATTGTTTCCTAAAATACCTTCTAGTATCCTGTCTGTATTCCAGTCTGTGCTGTATGAGTCATTATGAATAAAATAAGAGAGATTATTAACAAGGGAAGTGATTTCTAACGTTTGAGCGGCCGTGTGTGTTGTTCCTGTGTCAGTGATAAAGTGCGGCTGGTGTTGGTGTTTTGTAGGCGGGCCGTTTGATCTGATGTCTCGGAGGCTGATCGCAGCCAGCAGTCGAGGAATAGCAGAGAGCATCGCCAAGAAGATACAGCCGTTCTGCTGCGGACGAGACGACACGGAGAACTAGATCACGCGCTGCCTGCACCCCAAATAAAGGGATAAACACGTCCTGTATGCAGATATACGCTGTAAACGGTCAGTTATCAGGAGAGCCGGACTGTGACCGCACACCTTCATTCACCAATACACCATAAACTATATCGGTTTAGTAGTTCAGTACGAAGGCTTGAGTCTCGTATCAGTGTTTTAAGAGGTGTGTGTGTGTGTGTGTGTGTGTGTGTGTGTGTGTGTGTCTGTTAGTCGTTGGTTTAGATGAAGATTAATGTCCAAATACTGATAATGAAACCCGTGAAGGCATGTTGGCTCTATAGAGTCTGAGTCCAGTTCTGATCTGTTCTTTAGTCTAGTTTACCCTGTTTTGCTCTCTTTACTCTGCTGTCAGAGTAACAAACTGACCTGGTCCACAGCTCAAAATCACATTTTCAGAACTTAACAACCTTTAATACCTGCAGATATTTAAATAAAGTGGAAAACAAACATCCCAAAAGCCGTGTGCGGTATCTACTTTCTGAATAGTCAGAGATTCTGGTTAAACTAGCCGTACTTTCATCATGACATGGTTAAACTGACCACAACTGAAAAAATTGAGTGTGCAGCTTTTACAGATTTAACACTGAGAGCTCATTCACAGCTGAGAAAAAGAGAGCTTTGGAAATATCAGCCTCGAAATAAGAAAGGAGCAATTTTAGGGAGCCATAAAATAATCATTCCCCAAACCAAACGGCTCAGTTCAAAGTGCTAAAACACTGAAATGATTTTACTGCAGCATGAATTGTTTTTACTTACTTTAATGTAGTGATGCACCAAAATGACACTGAAACCTAAATTCAGACACTCTGGGGCAAAAACTGAAAACGGAAACCAAAAAAGCTGGCAGTAAATAATCGGTTTATGTAAAATAAACTTATTAAAATGATTACAGTATGGAGGCTGCAGTGTGGGTCAAACAACAGAGAAGCTGGTCATCCAATATAATGAAGTCCGGTATATTTTTAGTGATGCTTTGTGATGAAGGAGGGCGTTTTGTGTGCCAGCGCTGACTTTCCTTCCTGCTGCTGTTTTGCTGTGCAGGCTGGCGTCGTTTCTTAGGAGTTCTACTCTTCACTTACGGCTGGGCGATAAAACGATAACGATAATTATCGCGATATAACTTTTCCTCGATAGAGCGATACAACATGTTCGATAAATGTTCGATATAATACACCATTCTCACACTTCCACGTTCAGTGAAAGCCTCGGTGGCGTTTTCTACTGCAAGGAAAGCGACACTACTCTGCTGTCGCCAGGAGAGGGTGCATTTCCGAGTTTTTCGACATGATTTAGAGAGGGAGGAAGCCACAAGTAAGATGAGTCTTTAGCAATCGCTGAAGAGCGGCGTTATACATTCCCTGTTTGAGTGGAGCGACAGGCGATCTGTTCTCCTGTGGCCGAGTGTGAGTGACGAGGTCAGCGGTGCAACTATACTGTCCTACAGTGAACTCACCTCTTTCCTAACATCCTAACCAGCTTTAGCAACGTTAAATCACAGTCCTCACAACTACAGCGCTGTTACAGCGCTCGGACAGTCATAATTAAGTATTAGTGCATTCCCAAGCAGCGAAAGTGAAAGAAGTGAGTTCATGTAAATTACAGCCCTGATTTAAACGAAAGTAAACTGAGGAAGCTGTGAGGCATTGGAGAGCGCTATCTTTCCGGGCTAGCTGTTTTTAGCAGCTGGCTAACTTGAAGCAGCGCTCCGGCACAACACAGAGAATTGATGATACTGTAGATCAAACGCAACACAAAAGCACCACTTTCAGTTTAAACGTACCTAAAAGTCGGACTCTGTTTGTCTAGTGTTGATATTTTTCGGCTCACCCCTTAAACTACTACAATTGAATATCCAGTTGTCACTTCTGGTGTCTGAATACTGTGATGTCATGTGTAGCGGGGTAGCCGAGCGCTCGTCACCAGCTAAAAATAATCTGTTTTCTTTTTTAAATTATGACTATTACAAAATAGCCATGCTTTTCCAGCTGGTAAAAACAGCTCGGCAGACACTCTCTCCCACTCTCCCATGACAGATTTGTGAAACGTTCCACTGGTTGGTGAGTGTTTGTCGTCTTCCGACCATAAAGTATAGTTTAAAACAGCAATTAACCACCCAGGAGCAAAAATCAGCCTTCAAACTTGAAAGAAATAATGATTTGACATTTATCGCGATATGTATCTATATCGAACGATATGAATTTTGTTTATTGTGATAACATTTTTTGCCATATCGCCCAGCTCTATCTTCACTCTAATCTCCCATAGAAACCGTGACATAGATTAACGTTTGACATTTTTGTTGCTGATATGCTGCTGCTCAGACTGTTTGAAGGCCTCTTGCTGACCGATAAGGAAGAAAACAGCGTTTTCAATCACAGATTTTCATTACTTTTAAAATTATTTGTAAAGTCTGAGGGCTGTCACACTCCGGACGCGCTGTGTCACGCCTGTAAGGCGTCACTCAGTGTTTGAATTGTATTGTGTCTGCTATGAGATGCTACACAGCGTGGAACAAAGTGCTGCTGTAATGCACAGAACGCGTCGCAGTGAGAGCACCGATCACGGGTTCTTTAGTAAAGAAAATGGTTCTCTGTAGAACCACGAACACTCAAATAACCCTTTGCATGATTAAAGGTTTTTTTGTGTCATGAAAGGGGTTCTTCAGATTGATGGAGAATGTGCTGTAGATGGTTCTGTATAGAACCTTTTTGAACAGTTCTGCTACTGTTACAAGCTTGACATCTTAATGATAGAAGAATACTTCTATAAAGTAACCCTCTCATGATGCAAAGAACCCTTTAATCATGAAAAGGGTCTATAGAGAACCATTTTCTTTACTAAAGAACCCTTGAAGAACCACCTTTTTTAAGAGTGTAGTGAGCAGCACGTTTGCCCTCCCTGCTGCAGAGGGGGGTTCAGTCCCCTCCTGATCCAGGCAGTAAGAGTCCTTGGGCAAGACCACCTTTACCTGCCTGTGTCGCTCTGAATAACAGTGTCTGCTAAATGCTGTAGATGTAAATGTGTCTGTTTATCTGGACGTCCGGCTACTTTCCCTTGTAAACTGAAAGCCACATGTGACCTGCTGGGTCCCCGAGTGGCTTAAATTTAATGTCGTAATGGCAGAATTGCTGCTGGACGCTGTGTGATGCTGTCCAGTGCGCAGTGGCCTGACGCTTTTGTAGGTCTGTTTAACCTTTTGTTTATGAGTTCTCTTTAAAAAGCGCAATTTTAATAATTATCAGTGGCCAAAATGTTGGTGCATCTCTACTTTAATTCAGTTTTGGTAGATACTCGATATTAAATTACTTTGGCATTGGGATCTTAATTGGGTCGTCTCTGCTAAAAGCAACATGTTGATAGCAATTTTATTGGTTAGTGAATGTAAAGCTACATTGTGCTGTTTCATCCCAAAGTTTTATTACTTCATTACGTAACAGAAACAGTGTCAGAGTGTTGGAGCCACACAAATGTGCGCGCATATATATATATATATATATGTATATATATATATATATATATATATATATATATAATTTTTTTTTTTTATATTTTTTCTTTTTTATTTATTATTAAATTAGTTTCTCTAATTTCTCTGTACGTTTTGTCTGCTAACACAAAAAGGAAACATTTTGCAAAATTAATCTTTTACATGTTGGGTTGAAACAAAGTGTTGCTTTAATCATCTGTATGTAAAGAGCTCTCGAAGGTGTACAGTGTTGTGCTGTTTAAGGTACAATTGTGATGTTTGCAGCATTTAAGTGTTTATTGGAGGATTATGGCTCAGGAACTCAGCTGTTCTACTGTGGCAGTTTATGATAACACGTACTATGTATTGTGACACAACCTGTGAGTGTTTCTGTGCTTTGTATTTAGGCTGTTATTTATGCTGTAGTATTTTCAGTATGAATTCTAATGCACTGTAACAATTTTTGAAGTGACAATCTAGTTTGGGGGGTTTAAAGACTCACTGCTGACTGAGGAGCATCATTAGATGATTTCTTAACTCCAGCGCTGAGCGTCTCCGCTCTCACCATATCTCAGCAGTGATGCAGATTCCAGTTGACACACACACACTAAACACTTCATAAACCCTTCATAAACACTTCCAGTCAGAAGTTTTAGAAGAGCCCAAGTCGTCCAGTTTTTATTGACATTGAAACAGTTCAGGTCCAGTAAATAATCAGAAATGGTACAGAGGTCAGCGGTAAACTGTCAGAAGATTTAAAAAAAAACGGAACAATAAACCGGATTTTTTTTGTTGTTTGGGGTTCGGGGAAAGTCATTGTTACAACCTACAGCTGTTGAATAAAGCTTTGAAAGTTTATGCGAAACAGTTCCTACAGGTGTCCAACTTTTGTTGATTATTAAAAACCTGAGTGTATAAAAGCAGCGTCAGAGCTGACGGGGTTACTGCGTCCTCAGGGCAGTGCAGTGTGTAGGATATTGCAATCATAATGATGAGAAAAAGGCTATTAGCAAAGGAAAACAGACCATTATAACCCTTCAAAGTGTAAGTCTTTCCTTTAGAGGATCTGTGCAGAAAGCCGGAGTGTCAGTCAGCATCGTTTACTACGCCATTAAAAGGCTGCTGGAAACTGGAGGAAACTCTGGAGGTCTGACAGACACAAAGCCCAACACAATCAGAACACGTTTCTGAGAGCAGCTCGGCCTAACACAGTCCGAATGGGAGGAAAAAAATGGTAAAAAATTGGTTAGGGTTAGGTGAGCCCCGAGACGGACCCTGGGCCAGAAACCATGGGTCGAAACCAGAGACAGGTCTGCACAGGATGACCTTAACTCTGGTCAAAGTGAACAAATCTCAGTTTCAGTTGGAGCTGCAGGACTGAGAGGTCGAGCGTTAGTAAGAAAGCCATCGCTAAGATGGTAAAATAAGAAAAAGAGGCTTTCCTGAGCTGTTCAGCTCCACCAGTTGACCACTGAAGACTGGAATAAGGTCTTATAGACCAATGAATTAAAATCTGAAACCTTCAGTTCACCACGCAGGGTTTTTGCATTCAGCATTTAGCGGCTTGTGAGCCAAGGACTGTACATATGATATCAATATCATTAATAACCTAAATAACAAGAATAAAATTGAAAATAACAATAATACTAATAATTTGTGCACATGGCAGTCCAGTACAAACGTAGATGTGCTTATTTTACATGCACGCTGGAATAAACAAATACAGCAACTGTTAAGGACACATTACACTGTGCTTTTGTTATATGCTACTGACTTCACCCCAAAAACACGGTAAAGCGCCGCCACTGGACTCTGGAGCAGTGGAAATGTATTCTGTGGAGTGACGAATCAGCTTCTCTATCGGTCAGTCTGATGGACGAGTCTGGGTTTGGCGAATGCCAGGAGAACGTTACCTGCCTGACTGCACTGTGCCAGCTGTAGAGTTTGGTGGAGGAGGGATGATGATATGGGGCTGTTTTTCAGGGGTTGAT